ATGTCAAAAGACTCTCTTATGATCTTTCTCTTTTCAACTTTTTTATTTCTTTTATTCCTCTTTCTTTTTCACAGTTACTTTTGAGCCAACACAATCTTTCATATGTTTTCATATTAGAGAGGTTTGCCTTATGATTCAAATGCATTTTTAATGTATAATTTAGTTTCTGAGGTGCCTCGTTGGTTCCTGTTGGGTTTATGTGGCCTTTAAATGCCTTATGAGTGTGTATTAAAATACTTTTATTATAGTGAAACATAAACTCAGTGGGAGTATTGTCCCTCGAGAACCATACTAAGCAAATGATGTTTGCTTATACCAGACTGTGCTTATTGATCTAGACCAGTTGGTTGGAAAACTCAAGATACCTAAGCATAAAAGAATTAAAACAATGAAAGTTTTGAGTTAGCCCCTTGATGAGGTCGGAGCTTATGCCTAGATGAGAGAGTCGAGGGACTGTGTGATCCTTGTGTGTGATAGTATGCCTATTGAGACGGGGGCCAAAACCTCATTCATGTTCCATCACATAGCATGCATATTGATGGATCATTCGGGGAAGCCAAATATGTACCTTTAGGTGAAGCGTATACATGTGCGAGGGATACCCCTATGTGGCATAGAGTTGTGGTCGCATCAGGTTGTGGTAACCTTGACTTGTCTCTAGGGGAGGACCTGTAATCCACATACTGGGATTGCGATTCCTTGATTCATCGACCTGACTTTGGTGACCCGTTAATGAGCCCCTGCTTGAACTGTGGGTCATGGGAAATACTGGGTCGGCTCGATAAAGCTAAGGTGGTTTGTAGTCCACAGTTGGAGGTGGAGTACCCCATATTTACAGATTGAATTCCTAAAACCATATGGATCCTTTTCCCATCATATTAATTTAATTGTATTCATTTTATTATTAAAATAATTTTAGTTTTATTATTTGAATTTTTATGAATCTTTCAATATTTTAATTATGATTTTTGGACTTATAAAAATACAGTTATTGATTTTACAAAGTTGTAAAAATTCAAATATATATTAATTTGTTTTATTT